AAAATTCTGCAATAGAACAAATTCCATAGTTTGCTCACATAATTTTGATTTACTTAGTTGAGTTACCACCCTAGTACTGTACGTACGTACTACTTACGTATGTATTTTGCATGATCGATTGATAATTGATCAGCGTGGCTTAGGCTAACTGTGCCATTAGCCTGGCACACATTCAAGACGTGCCTTTAGAACATGTGTCAGAATAGATAATCATAAGTTAGAGTGTAATTAATTAAGGATATTAGTAATTCAGAAGTGTGAGTGTGATAATTGATCATAATATACATAAAAGAGGTTAGTACGTAAAATATGAATACAGTATATGGAAAATAAGTAATAAGATATTGATTTTCTAAATGAATAAATACTAAAATAGTCTTTTGTTGACATATTGTCATATCTAAAGTTACCATCTATCTTAAGTTACAACTTTATTAGATATATAAAATTGGCCTGACTAAAATTAAGCCTATTAAATTAGATCTTAATAGGTTAGGTACAACTTAATATATCTAAAGTTGCAACTTCAGATAGATAGTAACTTTAGATATGACTTTGTCATCATGAATAAATACCTAAAATTTAGTAAATTACATTATTTAAAAAAAAAACTATTTTAATTGAATATTCGCATAACTTCAAGTTCAAATGCGAAGCTCTATAAACTAAGCTAGATTCTAATTAGGCCAAATACTAGTTTGAACCAACAATCAAAATTTCAATTATTCATTAATACAAATAAATTGTTACTTTAATTTACAATTTCGAAGCTATGTATGTCATTTTTAAATGATGGAGATTTGAAAGTGACGTCTAATAGATAACAATCGAAAGTTAATAAAACGTAATCAAAAAGTGGTATGTAATGACATAATTTTAGGATATATTTATATACATAACGAAGCACTAAGTTATCAATTCCTTTTCATTAAACACCATGGCCCCTAAAAAAAAAAAACTACTCGTAAGTGAATAAAATTATATTCAAAATCTTCTTTTATAATATATATCTTTATTAAATAGATGTTTTATAGCTGCTAAAAGAAGCAGTACTCATACCGCGCCTGTATTGGCAGCTTCAATTTCTAAAGCATCGGATTTGACCCCAAGAAAGAGACAAAATCGTCGAAAATCAACGAATGAACAAAGGATCGAACAGCAGGCTAAGAAAATTGCTAGTGAAGGGGACAAATACTACTCAGAGTATGATAATAATTATGAAGAGACATCGGGTATGTGATTTAATTATAATTATTTCTTAAGTATGTATAATCAATTATTTTATTTATATTTTATATTACAGAAAACGGGACATATGTGTTATTTTTTAAAAAACATGGATTAGGTTTCAAATATATTAAACGAATAAGTATTTTGTGATGATATCTATTGTTTAGTTAATAATTCGAATTTATCTGAAGTGGGAATCAATAAAGCAAAAGAGATGTTACCTGTAGTTGAAAATTCAGCAAACGATGTTGTAGCTGCGACTTCTCCAACAAAACCTGCAAGTACAGAAACACATGTTGCAGCTGCGGCTTCTTCAGCAAAACCTTCAAGTATGGAAACACATGTTGCAGCTGCAGCTTCTCCAGCAAAACTGATGTATACATTAAGCACGGCAACACATGGTGCAGCTGCGGCTTCTCCAGCGAAACCGATGCGTACGGCAACAACGAGTTCACGTGTTGTTGCTGCAGCTTATCCAGCACCAATGCATACAGACGAGGCTTTACATACGTACCTAAATGAGGGTAAGAATTATTTGTTAATATAGTCTGATATAAAACTACATGTTAACAATTTTACATATTAAATAGAAAATGAAAACAATCACTTATCTCAAACAACCACCACAAAAATTATTGACACATTTAATGAATTCGAAATCACACTATGGGTGGCACAGCATTCGAGAATTCTAAATTTAGCCATGATGATTCACAATGCGATGACGACTCAAGTATCGAACAATAATCAATCGTTTAACTCTTTATTAAATGCCCCGGAAATTAATACTGGTCAATCATGTCCAGAAATTAACCAGGTAAATTTTTTTAATCAGATTTCATTTTGATCCATAATTATTAGTATGTGGCGAAGACTTAAATATATGCTTCAATTTCAGCGCACGAAATTCCTTTTACAGGAAGAGTGCAAAGCACTCTTCCTTCGTACAAGAAACAATACGACTGAGTTGTACGAGGAATTAATCTCTCAAGTGTGTAAAATTTCAAAAACCGATTATCGCATGCCAGCATTGTTTAAGGATGTAGGTTCCTGGTACAACTCATATCGCTGTAATTTTCACAAGTCGGTTTCAAAACTTGCAGATCAGTTTACCTTAACCCATAATTGGTAAGTGCGTCCATACTTATTAGTACGTAAGGGTTTAATAAAGATATATCGATATATACATAATAATTAAAATGATAATTTTAGGGAGATTGAATCGCTATATAGTGGATTATCTACATTTATTAGTGATGATATATGGAAAGAAACACTACAGCTACACTTAAAATGCACTGATCTGATGGCACTAAAAAAAGACTCATTAATGCTCAACAAGCTCGGCATCTTTGTACTTAAGGCAGTCGAGGCTGTGGCTATTGCTATGGCAAATAATGAAGATACACGAATCGCGATTCAAGATTGTGATGAGTATATAATCGACTTGAAAATTCTAACAAAACTTGGCGTAGTGAAATCACTACCAGTTAGAGACCTTTTGAGTCAATAAGCAGAATATAAACTTCTTTACAATGCATTACTTAAAATATTAAACAGTTAGACATACAATTTGTAGCCCAAAGAGAATATTGCATATCATTATTTAAATAATTATAAATATATAAATCCTAGCTATGGAAAAAACATTGCTTTAGATATTTTTGCTTAAGTCAATTGAATTCTTTCTTAAATATTACTTCTCTGCTCTTTCATTTACATTTCATAAAATAATGTACATATTTTATCGTCAATTGAATTCTCTATTAAATATTACTTCTCTGCTCTTTCATTTGCGTGTTAAATTACCAGTTCGTTAGTATATAGTTTATTCATAAAATAATGTATATATTTTATCGTCAATAGAATTTCTATTAAATATTACCTCTCAGTTATTTCACTTATGTGTTAAATTACCAGTCTGTAAGTATATAGTTTATTCATAAATAATGTACACATTTTATTGTTTAAGTTTTGATCAGCATATTACGTATATATTACGTAATAGATTCTAAACAAACTTTTTTTTTCTATTTATTAGTGTCTGTCTTTCCAATTTCTTAATATCGCACTTATTTCTTAGTGTCATTCTAATTTCTTAGTGCTGCTCTGATTTCTTGTGTTGCTCCAGTTTCTTGGTGTTGCTCTGATTTTTTGGGTTGCTCTGATCGCTCTAGCTTGTCTAGCTTGATCTGATTTCTGATGTTGATCTGATTTCTTGAAGTCGCTCTAGTTATTTGTTAATGCTTTGTTTTCTTAGCATTGTTCTAGTTTCTTCATCAGGAAGTTTTGAAGGTATTATTATATGCCATTATATGCATTAATTAACATTACTCGTTAAATAATATGATTAC